GGCCAGCTAATTGGATCCTAAATCGAGTCCAATGGGCTTAGACACAAATCCTATTGGACTAGGCCCAATGGGTTTGGGTCCAAACTAAATAGGGTGTCTACAATGTGCACCTTTTCAACACAAACAAATACATGTCCATATGTACTCATTCATCATACCTATGTGGACCCTCTCAGTTTTCTCTAGTCCACTCCCATGCATCATACAAACATACATACCTATAAGACGTAAATCTCCAATACTCCTATTAGATATCTATCTCACAAAACTTTATAACTTTTTTACATTTTTTTCTTATACCTAACCCTACAGAGACTTCACATATTTATAACCATTCAAACTTACCTATTAAGAATCCCTTTCCTCTTAGAATTATTCTTCTGCAAGTCAAATTTACCTTTTAAAAATCTTTTTTCTCTTGGAATTCTTTTTCTACAAGTTTTCTTGTCCATCAAGCAATATCTAACCAATCTCAAACAAATCTGTTATGGGATTTGAGTTGCTATTCCTAACATTGGTAGCATCATAATGATATTATTAAGAGAACAAAAGTGAACAAAGACAAAAAAAAGTAAAAGTTTTGGTCATAAAGGTTTCTTGTAATTGGCAGTCAAGGAAAAAGATTAGGAGAAAGAATTTGACAGCCACAAAACCTAACAAATTCAAACAATTAAGGAACTAAACAACAATCCTAGCAAATCTAGATAAAACAAATGGAGTCACAAACACATAATTGTGTAGTCGTAAGTACAAATAGCAATTGCCCATAAGCAAATAACACAAGAAGAATCAAAGTAAGACAATCATAATAATACAAAAACACAATCATACTTAGAAAGCATTCAAAGCAAAAAAAAAAAAAAAAAGAAAAAAACTGCCTAGTGAGTTTTTGTTGAGGGTTTGGAGCTTAAATTGATTTTTTTTAGGTTAAAGAGAAGTTAGAGAATTCTATTTTAGATAGAGAAAAAAAAAATAAATGAGGTCTTAAAGAATTCCTTTACCAAATGGTGAGTTTTGAATATTTTTGGATTTGATTGTTCTTAAAACTTTTTAAAAAACATTGATAAATTGTAATTTTTTAATTAAAAAAATAAAGTAAAAATAATATAAAATATCTCTTAGATGTTCAATAAAAAGAAATAGATATAATTTTGTAATGGCTAAAAAAAAGGAACGAAAAAATATCTAAAAAAAGGGATAATAGCATTTTCCTTTAAAGTTATGAAAGGCAAGGAAAATCTTATATTCCCCGTATAAAAGGTTAATGAATCTTGAACTATGGGTTTGAGAAAAAAAAGCAAAGTCATTAAAACAATATTTGCTTTCTTGATGGTCCCCCTAATGGTTAACCCAAGGTTCTTTTATATATCAAACAAGAAGCATTGTATATATGCAGGTCTCCTTCACACATGCAAAATCATTGTTATGCAACTATTTATAATTGGATAGATTTTTATTCTTTTGTACCATTTTAATAATTAATATATATACCTACATATAATTTGCCATTTTTTATCCAATTCTAAATTCATTTTATTCCATTTCTAAAAGTTTTATTGGAAAATAAGCATATATACATATATATATATATAAAGGGTTTATTTTTAATGCATTGATAATGAATTAAATAATTCCTATGTATATATATAAATTCACGTGGACATATATCTTCTGTTAGGGGAAGAATTTACTAATCTAACCACTTTGATTTCTTCAATATTTATTGACCTATCTTTGACGTATAAAATATTAAAAATTGCACATTAATAAATTTTCTATAATGACTGGATTTTATGACTTGGTTAAGTCAATTGCGTGTTTTATAAAGACTCAATTTTGGACATTAATGTTGCATAACCCTACTGCAAACACTAATCTTTTTACATGAGATGCCTTCCTATTGTTGCAACATGTATTATATCAAATAATTTACTCAAAGCAGTTGGTTTGAGACCTTCAACGTGGTTCCAAACTCATTATTCATTGACTTATGACAATTCTTCAATCAATTTTCTTCATTTTTTAACAAAGAAAACAGTTTTTTGGTTAAAAAATACTTCTTTTCCTCACTTCTTTTGGCATGCAATAATAATTAAACCAGTTTCTTTTCCCCATACTTGCCCATAGCTCTTCTTAGAACAAATTATGAATAAACCTGTGTAAAGTAGAAACTGCAGGCACATTGGAATGGAGATTAATTTCATATTAGAAACCTAATATCAGAACCAAACTTGTCTTAAACAATTTCTGGTGACCATTTAAAACAAAGGGAGGTAATGGTCTTAGAAGTAGCAGTTTTATGTACCTTTACTTGCCACGGGAAAGATTTGTTGTGCTTTATCTGGATTGTTGGTGGCTTAATGTCTATATTGTCACCTACCAATCT